ACATTGTCGAACCATATATATCTTTGCGTTGTGGTTGGTTGTCTCTATCTTTTGTGTTTATTTTTTCGTGGATTGTTTTTAGGTTTTTCTACGGTGTTTCCTTGCTCCCTACATATTAGTTCGCTACCATATAAGTAATTTCGCGACTGGCAATGGAGCACCTCACGATGCCTAAGAATTTTTTTAATAATATCCATTTATCTCTGAGAAATACAATACTGTGGAGTGAACTTTTAGGTTATGGAAATCACGCTTTTAAATTCTAAAGAAGCAATTTCAATACCTATTTAACACACAAGTCAAAATAGCACTTGCAACAATTGTTTTGCACAACTTTATCATGATGATGGGAGGAGTGGATGGTGTAGATGAGCTGCAATTTCGAGAAAGAATTTTTGAGATCATAACTAGTGAGGTAGATGACGGTGATCCAGTAGCAACTCAAAATAATGAGGACCTTGTCGAAGGAGTACAACTGCGAGATGAAATTGCATCCCAATTATGGCACGACCATGTGAATCACTAAAAAAAAATGTATATTCATTGCAAATAAAGTCTCTTATTATCTTTGTACAGTTGATAAACATATATTGGTGATATGTGACCTTAATAGCCCATTTGATTAATAGTTAGTAACAAAGTATTTTGTAGAATGGTTTACCATGGAATTTGGGATATTAAATCTATGTGTTCCTCTTAATTTGGAATATATGATGCATGAAATTAATATTGCTATTAACAAATGAAGCAAATATTTCCTCATACTTTAACCCAATCTCTCATGTATGGATTCTAGTTCCTTTTCTCTAAAGCCTAAACAAATCCAATTTGATGCGTATACCATCAACTTACAAATCCAATTGACCCTAAGAATTATATTTTGTATATAAGGAGCTTGGATAGAATAGGTTTTTTTGATAGAATTAATTAGAAAACATAAATAATAATATAATGAAATCTTTATAAAACATTATTAACTTTCAAATCCATTCTTCTTGCTTGATCTATGGTGGACGACCCATTCTTCCATGTATAGATTAAATTGGTTAATTATAAAGTCTTCAGGTTTGATAACTTCTAGGTGGTACCAAATACAAGTTTCCAGGTTCCGTTTAAATTTTAGACTAGTTAACAAATATAATACCTTTCAATACTAGGAGCTAGAACATTCAGCTTCATAGGGAGAAGGAACTTCCAAGTTCCAAATAACAACCAACTTCCCGTTGTCAAACAAACTCTTAACTATTTGTGTACTTCGCAAGTATGCGATATCAATGTTTGTGTTTCTTTGGTACATGAGAATAGTGATTACCCTTAACAATCAGGAGGGGGCAAGGGACCCAGACCCAACTCGGGACTCGAGGGGTAGACCCGATTTGGGTTTAGGTATGGGTCCAAAAATTGGACCCGGTGGGTCAACATTTTACACTTGAACACTATTTGGGTCAGGGACTGTATTCAGGTCTAGTAATATTTTTCGAGTCCCAATTTATGAAATATACTTAAATATAGTGAAATATACAAATATTTTTATTTTTGAATAAGATCCGATCGGGTTTGAGTCCCACACTATCTTTTCGAGTCCAAGTCCCGTGACATTTTCTCGATCCAAATCTGGGTCCAATCGGACCCGTAGCCATCCCTAACTATTAGATATAAAATTGGGTGGCCGGTGGTGTTCCATCGATACTCAGAAAATTTTCTCACACTTTGTGCAGAGAAATGACCCACCCCATTTTCGAATTATACATGTGAGGACTTGACATTTTTGTCGCTTTAAATGTAAGAAAATTTTGGAATTTCAAAAATCATTTATATTGTCCATCAAGTACAAGGAAACGTTTTTGTGTGCACACAATGTGCTTTCAACCACTTAATCCTGTCTCTACATATTCAGCTAAGAAAGGTATATGTTTCCATGAGAGAAATGGACACTTATTTGTTGGGACCTTAATAAATTTTTGTATCAACTCGTCCTAGCAACCAATCTAAATAGAAAATTAAAATATGTATCTTAAAGTTGCCTAAAAAAATAAGGAAAAAGTTTATATAAGGTGTAAACCTTGTACTGTACGAGTACGGTGCACCTAAAAAACCCATTAGAGAAGGTTGTTCCTATCTTGGAAAACCCTCAGATCGATCATCTCTACCTCAAGATTCATAGATATGAAAAAAAAGAGGGATTTCTAATCCTAATAATAGTTCATCTTCTAACATATTATTTGGACCGTCAATTTTCAAGTGTTTATGGATCTGCTTGATTGTCACTATTTCTAAAACTTGTAAATTTCATAATTTGGGGCAACAATAGATTTTCATATCAACGCAAAGCTTTGCAATACCAAAAATATATAAAGTTGCACCTTATACAAACCTCACCCAAAAAAATGACCTTCTAAGATTAGACCTAGGCTGGAGATCCTCTCCTAGATGCTTTGGAAGCCTATACTTTGATATTAAAGTTAAAAAAGAGAGAGGGGATTGGAGAAAGAAAGGAGCTAGAGAGAGAGAGCATATGAGAGAGAGAGAAAATGACATTGTTAGGGATTAATGAGTTAGCCAGACAAAAACGAGTTAAAGAACCAAAAAAAAAAAAGGGTGTGATTACAAAGAGAGATGAGTTGGAGAAATAATGGGTGTAGAAAAAGAAGGCCACATGCCTAAAAAAAAGATTTAAAGAAAAAAAGGCATGGTTTCTAAAAAGGGCATGATCAAAGGAGTGAGAGAAAGAACCCGCCGCACAATCATCACAAACGTCCATCTTTAAGGTGAACACCCACAAACTATCCAATGGATAGGAAAATATTCCAACAAAAATGTTTTGGATTTTTATTTTATTAAATTTTGTTTTTTATATTCATAATCATCATAGTTTAGTCCATGGATCACTACAAATTTGGATCCAAGACCAATACAAATAATGGGTGGGATCCCGCATGAAAATAGTATGAGATGGGGGGACTCATAAAAACTGGGTCCATTAAATAAAGGAGATTGAGGGCGAGAAAGGAGCTAGGGTGCTTAGTGGGTTTAACTTTCAATGGCAAAAAAATTATGCTTTTTTTTTTTCAAAATTAAAAAAATAAAAAAAATCTTCCAAGAAAAAAGTCATTGTATAATATAACGATAAATACGTTTTTAAAAAGAATAAAATAAACTTAAGTTACGAAAATAACCAACACCTCTCCTTGTTCTAAGTTCAAAATCAAGAACAAGATTTTTCAAATAAAAATACATGTTTAGGGTTTGGAATCTAAAATAAGTAAGGTATCTCAGATAATTTAAGTGAGACAAATTACCAAATATGCTTACTTGTTGAAGATAACAAACCTAGACTTACATTTATGGGCATTTTTTAGCCAAAGTCTCTAGTAGGTGCTTAAATGAAAGGATTCCTAGAAAGTAAATTCTACTTAACAATTTTTTGATTTAATTGTTTCTTTGTGTTTATTTGGTTAATGATAGTTTTTGAAAACCAAAAAAGTTTCAATATCTCTACCTAAAAACTCCCTTTGTCTAGATTATTATTATTGCCTTTTTATCATCACTACAGGCAATTCGCGTTCAGATTATTCTCCACAGTTTAGGAAATGGGATTGGGGCATTGGTGGTTAAGGGGATAAATGCCTCAACATAACGTTTCACCTTCCATTTCCATCATTAACAATCAATAATAATAATAATAATAATAATAATAATTTATTTTCCACGGATCTTCAAAAATTTATTTAAGAGCACCAAAACCGTGAACTGTATATTCAATGGCCAAAATGGCCATTATTGAATGTGAGAATTTGTGGGCAATTTCTTTTCTATCTAATTCACCCATTATTTATGAGCACACACAGGGGGTTGCAGTACTCATTAATATTGGGTGCTTCGACAGTAGCTTTTTCCCAACAACGGGTACCACAAAATAACACAAGCCATTGCTAAGGTTCAAATATCCAACAAAGTTTTCCTAGTTTTAGGTGGTGTATTAAATGGCCCAACCATACCAACATTCAATGTGGCTTCTTTTTTGCTTTTTTTTTTTTCTTTTTTTTTTTCAATTATGGTATTTTTCCAATCAAGGCTAATAATTTAAGGACGGGGTTTCTATGAGTCAGCCGAGTCATATTGTGCATATGCAGGCCCCCACTTAAACCTATCTTTGAAATGGATTTTTAATCCAAAGTTTTAGAGCTTCATGATCTAGGTTAAGATGATCATGAATATGAAAAATAAAAAAAATTTCAGTATATATAGTGTGATTTTTTGTTGGAAAATTTCGAAACCGTCTAATTTCATTTTAGCCTTGTGAGCTTTTTACAATGTCCATCTTAGAGATCGATGTTAATGAGTTAGCAAGCTCTTGCACCCCACTTGCTCATGAATGACTTTTCCATAATTTAATCCCCATATTCTAATTATTTTGAAAAAAAAAAAATTTGAAAAAGAAACCAAACATTTATGGGCTCAACCATACCAACATTCAATACAGGTTCCCTTTTTTTCTTTCTTTTTTTGGTGGTATTTTTCGAAGGAAAATGGTTTGATAGGGTTGCAGCTCTATCAAAATAAGTAAAGCCTCACTTCATAAGTAAGTGAAAAGTGCATTGGAAAACCTTTGCATTGATCATCTCGGCTTGAACATTACAATTGTAAAAAAATTAAGATTTTAAGCTTTACAAATAGTGTATAGTGTAATAAATTATCTAGACGGTTCATTTCACCATAAAAATAAGTGTTCACATTTTAATTTTATTGTTGATGTTAAAAATTGATTTTAGAGCCATCATGGAGATTTTCGTTGCCAAGAATATTTTTCAGATGAAGATTTAAGGTGAGGCTTTATTTTGATTTCATAAAGCCCAGGCTTTATAAAAACTTCATCATTTTCTATAAAAAATACTTTATAAAAGGCTTTGTAGAAGACTAATCATTTAATCTCCATTATTCCAATTATTTAAAAAAAAGAAGAAAAGAAACAAAACTATTTCAAGCTATAAAGCAGGCAAACCCAGTGTTCTCTCTCTCATGAGCTGTGCATTTCATGTTCTCTTGGGGAGGAGCTCTCTTTCTGAGGCCCCTTTCGTAGGTTTCGGAAAACATTTCGCCGAAATTATTGCTCATACTGGGAGAGGGGATCATTCTACGTGTGTGAGCCCATAAAATTTCGCGAATTTCGGCTTATATAAACCGCTATTTTCAGTGAAATTTTCAGTGCTGGCGTTTGTGACAAGCAATGGCCTTTTGGGGGGGAGCGTTGCTCTTTGTTTTGGTCCCTTGGCTTTGTTTTCAAGGAGTTAGCTGCTTACAACGAGGTAAGCATGAGTATTATAACTTTTTTTATTTTTTTTAAGAGCGATTTTGTGGCTTCAATTATGTGGGTAATTTGAGGATTTGAGGGAAATTAAGGGTGTGTTAGTCAGTTATTAAGGTTAAGATTGTATAGCAATAGGCACCAATTGTGATGATAAATTAGGGAATTTTGATGAGATTAGTGGCAGTGTAGTTATTTCGTAGTGTTAAAGACTTGAAATTTTTGTGAATTTTATTTGGGTGGCTGAAGTAGTCAAGCATCTGGTTCAGTTAAAATTGGTACGATTGCTCGTTGAATTGGTTTGGCCGAAATTTTTTTTGTAAAAAAAAAAAGAAAAAGAAAAAGTGGGAAGAACAATTTTGAAAAATGTAGAATATTATACTAAAAAGTTGTTGAACGTTATTTAGTGAGTCTTCTAATGAATTTTTGATTTGGATTAGACAGACTAAGACATTAGTTAACTAGTTAGACGAGCCGCTCGGTCTAGTCTTGGTAACATTTATGGCCCTGGTCTATCGATAAATGGCAGATGAGGGTAATTTAGCCACTTCTTAAAAGTTTGAGAATTTCATTCACACCAACACCACTTCAATATACTTTAAAAAACCTAACTCTTCAATTGACGGGTAGGGGCTTGTCTTCCCCACTAAATAACCAAAAAAAAAAAACTTATATTTTTAACTTTTAATTGGATCTCCAAAAATTTAAATAATTATGTCCTTTCTTTAGAAAACCAGGTTCAGTTTATGGGAAATAAAATTAGTGTAGATTTTGAAAAAGACCGGATTTCTATGTGATCAAGCCCGCATATGTATAAATGCGGGCTTATTAATAAATCTATTTTTGAGATGGATTTTTTGACTTAATTTTTAAGGATATGTAATCGCTAACATAGAGATCATGAATATGAAAAAATAAATAAATTTTAAAAACTAAAAATAATAATTCTAGTAAGAAAATATTTGGACTGTTAGTTTCTATTGTTTTTAGATGGAACACCTACTTGTGTCCATCTTTAAAATAGATGCTTTACACCTTTTGGACCGCACATGTAGTCATGCGGTCCTGCCCCGCATGAAAAGATTTTCCTTTTGAAAAACATTCATATTTTCAACATTCATACAACTATGAACACTGAGGAGGCAAATTCCCGTATTGGCCCTACACATTTATATTTTCTCACTGTGGCTAGGTAACATTTATTCATGTTGAAAGTAACACTGGCCATTCAGAGAAGGGTAGTTTAGTCATAAAGTAAAATTCATTGTCTAGAGAGTACTCAACTTGGAAATAGGCATTTGGATTCTTACAAACTTATAACAATAGGTCAAATTGGACCATATGCTTTTCCATAGTCACTTTTATTCAAGAAAATTTATCAAATTACTAACAAGATGAACTATTTAATAATTTACCTTTTTAGGATTATTCCAGACATGTGGTGTTTTATGGGATATTTGAAATTAAATCAAAAGATGTGGATAAAGTGTTAAATTGTTAATATTTCATAGGGAATGTGATTAATTTCTTTTTAAAAAATTACCGAGCTGACAAGGAAACGCTCAAGTCAGCATTGAGGGGGAGCTAGGGAATCCTAGCCATGAAAACCCGAAATTGCCTCACTCTATTGGTTCATTACTCTTTTTTTGTTTTTTGGTTAGATATTGTCTTATCACTTGAGAATAGCCTAAGCTGGACCAGCACGTCAAACTTTGACATTAGGACCTAATTTTTTGTTAGATATTGTCTTATCACTTGAGAAGCGCCTAAGCTGGACCAGCACGTCAAACTTTGACATTAGGACCTAATTCTGGCTTTTAAATGATTTATTCTCATCAGAAGGAAAAAAAAAATTACTAATAGATTTTTTTATATTTTTATTATCTTGTCAATATTGTTTTTCTTGGTGGCAACCCACAATCACATTTGTTTCATAGTGAGGCGTCAAATACTCTTCCAATTTCAGAGCCCTGTCTCTCTCTCTCTCTTTCAAAAATAGATCGTGAAGAGGTGACTCATTTTTACATGGACTCATAAAAACTGTCTTAATTATGTAGACAACATAAGAAATGGTGTAATCTGATGCTTTTTCGTCACTCAATCAATAAAAGTTCTTAACCTTATATATATAAATTACAACATAAAAAATATGTAGGGGTATTTTGGTCATTTATGTCGAACTGTCCACCTGATACTAACGATGAAATCATGCTCGCAGCCCCGAGCTACACTTTTGTTCACGAGGCCACAAGAGCTCCTCCATTGTCGCACTATGACTACATAATCGTGGGCGGGGGCACCGCAGGGTGCCCTCTTGCAGCCACCCTGTCCCATTCTGCCAAAGTACTACTACTAGAGCGTGGGGGCTCACCATATGGCAACCCCAACATCACCAACCTAGCCACCTTTGCAGACACCTTGGCCGACCTCGCTCCGGACTCCCCTTCTCAGCGCTTCATTTCAGAAGATGGTGTCATAAGTGCCAGAGCCCGGGTTCTCGGTGGAGGAAGTTGCTTGAATGCAGGATTCTATACCAGAGCTAGTCCTAACTACGTGAGGGATGTCGGATGGGATGGACCGCTTGTAAACCAGTCATATCAGTGGGTCGAGCGCATCGTCGCCTTTAAGCCCCCAATGCTCCAATGGCAGAGCGCGGTGCGCGATGGATTGGTGGAAGTAGGGGTTGGTCCTTACAATGGCTTCACTTACGATCATATGTACGGGACCAAGGTTGGCGGCACCATCTTTGATGTGGACGGGCACCGGCACACCGCAGCCGACTTGCTCGAGTATGCGAACCCGACGGGGCTCACAGTGTTGTTGAGGGCGGTTGTTCATCGTGTGATGTTCAGGACCAAAGGTAGTGAGCCGGGCTTTGTTTTGTTTTCCTTTCTCTTTTTGTTCTACTTTTGGAGCCGAGCTTTATTTGTGGTTCATGGGAAGATAAATGAGCCATGTATTTTTTTTCAACAAAGTTTCCTAATTACCTGTAGGGAAGTTTGTGTAAGGTGCCCACCTTATATTATACAAGTAAGGGGTACCTTTTCAAAAAGATGCATTCCGGCATCGAAAACCACATGATGCTTTGAAAATCTATGTTACACCCTTATTATGAAATTTAAATTTTTAAAAAAAATCCAGATTGAGGAGATCTATAAATACTTCAAAATCTTCAAAATGGAAGATTGAGATAACTTGTTACAAAATAACTATTTCTAAGACTTGAAATTTTTGTTCTTTTATTTATATTATATCTCTTGAGGGCGAGATGATAAATCACAAAGTTTTTCAACTCTAGAACACTCTAATGTTTAAATTTTCGAAATACCCATCATATTGCAATTACTCTAACATCCTCGTATATTTCTTAAAATTCTCAAATAAGTGTGTGATTAGCGTGGAAGCCATATCTCCTCCCAGAAGGGGTTGCTTCCATGGAGAAGCATGGAAGCGCACACTTCCTTTTTTTTATGCTATTTTAGTTGGGGTGGCAGGACCTGGACCCAGACCCAACCCGACTAGGTTACTCATTTGGTCCTAGACCTAGGTCTAGAAATTAAAAAGAATAGTTATTTCTTGACATTTTGTATCTATATATTTTTATATATTTTATATTGGGTCCGGTCGGGTTGGGTCGAGTTGACTCCAATCTGAGCCGAGCCGTCTTGATAGGGTCCAAGCTAGATCCAGACCCTACCCGACCCGACAAAGGCCCAAGTGGGACCCAGACCTAACCCACTGGGTCCAACACATAGACCCAGACTCAGGACTAATTCGAGTCAACCAGCCGGGTTTACCCGACCCGATTGACGCCCCTATATTTTAGAAAGCCTAAAAATACAATTCCACCCATGGTTTCTGGTGGTGGAATAAACATTGATTGTTGAACTATTAAAACTGCGTGTGGCCAAATTTGCCCACATATAAATCCTTTTCCACTTTTTTTTAAAAAAAATGTTTTCCCATTTAATATTGCAATTACCAGAATACCTTCATGTATTTTATAAAATTCCCATATCATCCTTTGTGGGAAAATTACCATAATATCCTCATCTTCAACCCGAAGCAGGGAAATCCAAGCCTGTAGCCCATGGCGTCGTGTTCAGGGATGCCAATGGCATTAAGCATAAAGCCTACCTCAACAAGGGATCGAAGAACGAGATCATCATCTCAGCCGGAGCTCTCGGGAGCCCTCAGTTGTTGATGCTTAGCGGCATCGGCCCACAAGATCAACTAAGATCGCTAGGCATCAAGGTTCTGATCAACCAGCCGATGGTGGGGCAAGGCATGTCCGATAACCCTATGAATGCCATATACGTACCATCCCCATTGCCGGTCGAAATCTCTCTTATACAGGTTGTGGGCATCACGCGTTTGGGAACGTACATTGAGGCTGCGAGCGGCTCGAATTTTGCATATTCGACCACTGGTGCTGAGCAAAGCCGTCCGCAACGCATGAACTTTGGCATGTTCTCGCCTCAGGTTGGTTAATATCATGGTTTTTTTTGGGGGATTTGCAGTGATATTAGGAAAAAAAAAGAAGCTCATTTATGTTTTGTTATATTCTTTCTTATTTGGGAACTGAAATCCAAATACTAAAGGTGTCTAAAGGTTAAAGGTTTGACATTTATCAGCTCATCATACAACCTTTTCTAAATTACAAATTTTAGATTCAAGATCAAAGTAATTTTAGGAGTTCAATGCCCATTATTTCGCCGATATTCCATAGTGGACATTGAACTGTCAAAATTAGCATAAAATGACTGAAAACATTGGGAAAATAGAGTATATATTATTCTCATTTTTCTGCATAGCCCAATAATGATTTTCATATTTGAAATCGGAAAATGTTTATACAAGACGACATCTTACTTGTAGAAGTAAGGTTGTAGAAATCTACTCCTTTCATTTTAGTTGGAGTTATAGATTCTACCTTCAAAAAAATATTAGAGATTTTTATTCTACCTGTCAAATCTACACCATTTAATTGAAATAGACATCGAGTAATGCTACACCTTGTGCAAACCGTACCCTTTGAAATTTGGCCTACATCCATTAATATGTTCTAATGACAAAATTATTCTCAAGCATTACTTGCATATATCACAAAAATATCAAACATCAGTCAATGTTCCTCCTTAATTTGCAGACAGGGCAATTAGGCATTGTTCCTCCGAAGCAACGCACTCCTGAGGCCATAGCCAAAGCAGTGGCCGCCATGGATAGCTTAGATGAAGGTGCTTTCAGGGGCGGCTTTATCCTTGAAAAGATCTTGGGCCCGGTCTCGAAAGGAGAACTAAGACTAAGGAATAGGAACCCATCAGACAACCCACAAGTGACCTTCAATTACTTCAAGGAGCCCGAGGACCTCAGGCGGTGCGTAAATGGGATACGAATAATCGAGAAAGTAATTAGTTCAAGAGCATTTTCAAAGTTCAAGTACCCGTACCTTAGCCCCAACACTCTCATCAACATGACTGCAAGTTTCCCTGTGAACTTGGTACCGCACCACAGTAACGACTCGACGTCTCTAGAGCAGTTTTGCAAGGATACAGTGATGACTATATGGCATTACCATGGAGGTTGTCATGTTAACCGGGTTGTGGACCAAGATTATCATGTGCTCGGTGTCGATGCGCTTAGGGTGATCGATGGCTCGACATTTAATTACTCTCCGGGGACCAATCCCCAAGCCACTGTTATGATGCTTGGGAGGTGAGCTTAGTATTTGCTTATTTTTTCCACCCCATTTTGGGGTCATTCATGTGGGGATATAATGGTCTTAGAAAAATCTGGTATGGTTTTAGAAATGGAGGTATACTGTTTGTGTGTTTGTTTTGATTTTTTTTTTCTTTTCTGGTAGTTATCGATTCCAAACCGGAACTAAGATTGCATTGACAAGAATTGTGGTCTTGGATTTGCATTCTTTAAATTTAAGTTTTGTTAAATGTCGTATGGTTTGAATTTGCATACTTTAAATTTAAGTTTTGTTTTTCTGATTTGTGCTCTTTGTTACATACAGGTACATGGGACTGAAGATTCAAAGAGAGAGATTGCATGCAAATGAGAGTGAAGATTTAAAGATGGAGAAGGGAGTATAAATGATGACATTTTACGCAATAAAATAATAATGGGCACTTAAAAAGTACATAAATTAATGTATCAATTGTGAAAATGTGCTCCTATTAGGCTAGTCATTGATGTAGATTGAACTCATGAATTTATTTTCTCTGAGTGCTTGGATTATTGGAAGGTACTATTCTTAGATCTCAAAGTTTTATGTTGTTTCTATGCATTTTTGTCCAATCTACCTTATGGCAATTTATTTGAGTGAAAATTTCTTACAAAATTTTAAGGCACACTCTTCGGAAATGACATGTAGAATATAAATTGGCAAAAAAAAAAAAATACACAGAAAAAGATCACGCAATTAATATTTTTTGTTCTACATAATATGGGTATTTATGGTTTTTTGTGTATTTCTACATGCTAAGGGGATAGTTGTGTCTGATATTTACCTAATCACTTCTTCTGAATCTTCTCTTGAAATCTTTATGCAGAAATGCTTGATGTCACCGACAATTCGACAACCTCCTCACCCTTTCTCCTTTTAAATGGTTTACAGACGTACATATCTGTTTCTATATAATATAGTTCTAAAACATTGACAAGTAATATGGGGTTGCAACATTGGCATGACTATAGTTATTTAATCATAAATAATAGTAATTTTAGATACAAATTGAGGTTAAGCATGGTTTAAGAAGTGAGGATCTTAAACTTTCCTTTAACCCGTCTCATGCTTAGGTAAAGGGGCCGCGTTGTGTTAGGTAGGCAGTTGATGTGAAATTTTACCAAAATTTATCATGAATCCTAAATTAATAATATGATGGACCAAGATTCGTGTAGCCGACTTCAATTAATTTGAAAAAACATGATGATTGAGGTTCAAACATTTCGATTTGAGTTCACTTATTCTATCATAAATGATTTATTAAGTTCGATTGAATGAAATTTGACCAATGAAGAGAAAAGCCGATTTGTTTGATAATTTTATTTCTTTTTATAGTGCAGGTTTTTTAACTAGTCGATCCAAAAGTGTTCATATAGATAGGGACGAGCGGTTACATGGTTTAACTTTTTGGTTAATCTAGAGAGAGAAAACATGAAATCTATATTTTAATCCTAAAGGAACCCCTACTGAGAAGATATGAGGAATGAGCCACTTTACAATGTAGCAGAATGACAAAAGTAAATGATAAATGAGTTAAAATAAATGGTAGGTTGGTTGATTGTAGGGGTGGGAACGGATCGGGTCAAGTCCAGGTCGACCCTGACCCTGACCTAGAATCCAACCAACTATTTCTAAGTTAGACCTAGAACCGACCTGAACCTCAGTTGGACCTAAGTCAATTGGACCTTGGTCTTGGATCCAGATCCAGCCCAACTCGGCTCAACATCAAGTGAACCCAAACCCAACTTGTCAGGTTCTTTGTTTGAGCCCAAACCCAGAGCCCGATCGGGTCAATCCATGGGTCCATTGGTCAAGACACATTTCCAACCCTAGTTGATTGTTGAGTATGTGTGAAATGAGAGAGAGAGAGAGAGAGATTGTGATGTAATGTAATGTGTGAGACCAGAAATGCGTGTGAGAGAGAATGTCTTCATATGAAGATGGAGGCCTTGTGCAATATTGCCTATGATATTACAAGGTGGTTACAATCACTTTTAGCCATTAGCTGTCAAATTAGATGGCTTGAGATGTGTCGTTAAGTTTTGGGGGATTTTAGAGAAATTATAAAAAAAACTCCAAAATGAGACTTTATAGACAACCTACCCCCAACAAAAAAATTTTTAGCAACTTGTACCCCAAATTGAGCTTTTCTAACAAATACCCCCGAGCAAAAAAAATCATATTTTTAGACAATAATGCCCATAGTGTCGGACAGCCTGTCAGACCGCATGCTTTCCAGAAGCAAAGTGCCGGACTGCCCCCATTTTGTGCCGAACTGCATGCTCAAAGTGTCAGACTGCCCCTATTTTGTGCTGGAATGCAATGTTTTCTAGAAGTAAAATGTCGGACTACCGAACTACATGCTCAAAGTGTCAGACTGCCCCTATTTTGTGCTGGAATGCAATGTTTTCTAGAAGTAAAATGTCGGACTACCTCTATTTTGTGCTAGACTGCATGCTTTCTTGAGGGTATTTTAATATTCATTTTATCTTTTTTATGACTCGGAGGGGGGGGGGGGGGGGAGAGTTAAATTTAAAGTAAAAAGTGAAAAATTTAAAGTAAAAAGTGAAAATTTTTTGGTTGAGGATAAGTTGTATTCCTAGTTTCTTCATATCAAGGTTAAGGTCTTTTACAATATAGTATATCCGTTGTGTTGTTTAAAAAGTGAATGACATCGAGATTCGAGAGACCGAGAATGATAATATTCATGCCAAGTCACAAATCAGTTATCCATATTTTGGTAACACAAATTTATTATTGCGAAAAGATATTCTATTCTCGTTAGCATATCGATTTACTCTCATAGGTAAGTTAGATTCGTTTTGGAGTCTTCGATTTGTTGAGAAAAAATGAAGCAATTAGGTGTTTCGACGGATTCGGGGAAAGACTTTAGAATTTTTTTAAAAAATTAATATAAATAAATTAGATATTTATATCTAAAATATATAAAAATAGTGGAAAAAATAAAAATTATTTTTTAAAAAATAAAAAAAATTTATATAGATATTTCTTTGCTTCGGTCGAATCAGCCCGAAGCAGACCTGAATATGATCGAAGCAGCTCGACCGAAGCAGCAACACGTGGCTTTGCTTCGCTTTGGTCTAAGCCTAAAATCCGATCGACCGAAACGAAGCGAATTTGACAACATTTGATAAAACTCCACCGAGAATTAATTTTAGGATCCCAAAAGTTGGGATGTGACATCTTCAATAAGCATCTTCAATAACCTCAAGCTAATTGTACCCTCTACCATGTGATATTGAGATGGCGAGGTCCCAAGTGTTACAAATCTCGATTCAAACTCATGCTTTGGATAGGGATACTAAAAAAATGTAAAGGAAAAGGAATAGTTTTCTAAGAACATAAAAATGTCAGGAGATCAACATGAATCCTGTTGCATCATGCACCGAGTACCTCCAGCTTGGGGTCTGATCGGTGTGTGTGAGAGAGGTGTATCTCGGATTTAGAGAGGAAAAAACTATCAAAATAAGGCTTAGGCCTTTCCAAAAAAATAAAGCCTCACTCAAAACTCATCCAAAATGGTCTACTGTCTATGCACAAGCATTCACAAATCAACAATATCTATACATTTTCTGAGCGACAAAAATTTACAAAGAAGGTTAAAAATAGATTTTAGAGCGATCACAAAGATTTTATTTATGTCTAAAGTGTTTATGTATATGAGATTTCAATGTGAAAATTTATTTATTTATTTTTTTTGTGAGGCATGGGCCTTATAAAAATTGCATATTTTAAAAGCGAGAATTCTGCCGTCTTGGGAAAGGGGCTAGGGTCGTAGTGGTAACATCCCCATACCCATTTACCACATCGTAGTATCCATTCTCACTGCTAACATTTCCAATTAACACCTTCAAAATGTAACTCCCTAATCTATTGAAAAAATGGGTAGGGGCATTGAAATACCCAAAAAAAAAGAAAAAAAGGATTCTCTTGTCATACCCAAAAAAAAAAGGGAATTCTCCCGTCTTAGAGAAAGGTAGCCCGGTCAAGTTTGGTAAAAATTTCACAAGTTTTTCTCTCTAAAATTAGATATAGGTTCTCTCTAAAATTTTAATATACTTACTCTCTCTAAAATCTAAAATTTGAGATAGTTTCATTCTTTAAAAATTTTAAGATAGTTTCTCTCTTCGAAAATTTTAAATATTCTCTCTTTAAAATTTAATTAGTTTCTCTCTCTAAAATTCTAAGATATTTTCTCTTTCTAAAATTTAGAATTTGATATAGTTTCATTTTTTGAAAATTTTGAAAAAATTTATACCTCTTAAAATATTTAAGTATTTTATCTCTCTAAAGTTTGATATAGTTTCCCTCTATAAAAATTTAAGATATTCTCTCTTTAAAATTTAAAATTTGAAATGGTTTCTCTCTTTAATGTGTCGGGTGTTTTGATGGAATTAATTATATTTGATAAAATGGGCATATTCAATGTATGAAATTAATGTCACAAAAATACTTTCCCTACTCAAATAATCGGTGCTATTTTCACATGAATTCGTTCAATTTGTGTGGTAAAATTTTTTCCCACATCGAAAAGTTCGGGTGAGGTTTCAATGAGGCCTAGGCTTTATCAAAACCAAATAAAGCCTCACCACAAATCCTAGTCCAGAATGAACTTTATGCAACAAAAATCTCCATAACTCTAAAATTAAATTTCACATTGAAATTCAAAACTTAAAAAATAGTACAGATATTACGAATCTATGAACATTTATTTTCAGGGTGAAATAGCCGATCTAGATGATTTATTGTAAGATACACTATTTTCAGAGTTTAAAATCTTATTTTTTTTTGCATCCATGATGTTCAAAGATATAAAGCTTTTTAAAAAATCGGACAATGATTTCATGCAACCGTTGTATAATAATTTGATGCAACAATTTTAAAAAATTATCTTATGGCCATTTGTTTGATTCAAAATTTAAAATATATTCTCTTTTTATTTTAATGAATAATTATAAAAAAAATAAATTGAAAATACCATCTCAAAAATAATTTTTTAGCCCAATTAAAATAAAGCTAAAGTTGCATCAAGTTATTTTCTATAACATTTAGAAGAATGATTTTAGGAGACCCTCTCGCATTTATATGTGGGTAGGATTTCAAGAATTACCATTAAATTTGTCATATAGCTAAAAAAAAAATTTATTATAAATTAAATTTAATGGTGATCGTTTGGATCGTACACATGCGCGCGTGGAAGGGTTTCACAGGATAATTACTCTAAATATAATCTCGTACAAATATTTCCATGCCTACCAAACCTGCCCTCTGAGAGAAGTTTCCCGATTTTAGAGTGAAGGTGGCGTTCGGGTTTTAAGGGAGGGAGATTTCTAATTGAGAGAGAGAGAGAGAGAGGGTCGTTTTCTGGTTTTCCATAGCGCGATGGTGTCCGATCTGATAGAGAGAGAGGTGTTTTGGCCCTTAGAGAGAGAGAGAGGTCTTTGTAAAGTTGAGAGAGAAAGAGAGGTCTTTGTAAAATTGAGAGAGAAAGAGAGAGGTCTTTGTAAAATTCTTCAGAGCTCGAGTGGGTCTTGTTTGTTATAGCATTGAGAGAGAGAGAGAGAGAGAGAGAGAGAGAGAGAGAGAGAGAGAGAGAG